ATATATATATGTGTGTGTGTGTGTATGTGTATATACATATATATAAAAATGTTTATATATGTATATATATATGTGTGTGTGTGTGTATGTGTGTGTGTAACGGCATCGTCATCCACGTATATGCGTTCGTCCAGCGGTATTTGCTCCGAATTGGGTTCTCTTCCCTTTTCGTTATTCTCTTGCATTTTCTCTCTCTCTCTCTCTCTCTCTCTCTCTCTCTCTTGCTCCTCCGAGGTACCTCGAATTTTCACGTAAAAAAAAAAATATACGTTTTCTCCTTTGTCTTTCGCGGAAGTCGATACACACGCACCACGAGCGCTATCGCACCCGGGTGTGTCCGCGTGTGACTGTAAGCGGGGAACGAAGGGACGAACGGGAGTTCGTCGAAGGAAAAGGGCTTTATAGAGAAATCGGTTTCAGCCTGTGCCGGGCGGCGGAACATTCGTGTACGGATCGCGTTAGATAGATGAACGACGTAATTAGACGATGGCGAAAGTCCGGTCGATCGTAATGAATTTTTATTCTGTTTATGATGGCCGGTCGATCGCCACCTTTTGTTCCGCGCGCATTTCCCGAACGCGCTCGCCGAGAAAACGCCGACTTGGACGACGCAAAAATACACCGGCGGTAATTATGCGATATCTACTACGTCGTTTTACGTACACGTCTATGAAACTCGAAATGAGGGTTCAACGCCGGAGGTGGTATTTTGATCCCGCGGAGGAACGGTCAACGTGGCGGAGGTATTGATCTCGTACGTCGCACGAATGAAAATACGACATGGAGCTATGAATGGTAAATAGAAACGCGGACGGAATTGGCCGAGATAATCATGATCGCGAATCCCACGTAACGCAATTGCGCAATCACGATTGTACTTGATGAACCGGACGACGTGTCGGCTGGTGTGCGAATCGATATGATATAAAAGCGTAAGGAACGTAAGAGGTGGACGACTCGGTAGAGTTTCGTAAGGGCTCTAAGATGGTATTGCGCTTAGCACAGTTGTACGTGTATCTTCCTGCGTTATTGTGTACAAAATTAGAAAAAGAGAGATACGTAGAGTGGGTTTCTTGTAATGAAAATTCCAGTGGCAAGCGCGGAGCAGCAGAGGTCAGAATCCCCTGCGAGTACACAGAATCAGAAACTCGAGAATCCCGACACTACTAAGGAAATGACTAATAAAGATGGTATCGGGCCCAAAGTGATGATCAAAGGGGGCGGGAAAGGGGGCTGGCTGAAGGCCCCATTATCAGAGGCCCAAGAGCCCCATGGTGAGTGAGAGTAGTTGATCAAAAGATGACCATTACCGACGAATCTAATCGAGCTTTGTATTTGCGAAATAGCGACTGCACACATAATTATTTTAAGGAGTGTACAAACATTTGTACACGAAATTCGATTTTTATGCACTTTTCGCTGAATACTACTATAGTTGTTGACTTGGGATTTTATTATATTTTTGTCATCCTTGTGAATGTTAAACAGCCAATTTTGAGTACAAATATTTTTAATACTTTATTGATAGTAGAACATTTACAGTTCTATAAAAAAATTAACATTAAAATAAATAATTATTTAAAATAGTCACAGCAATATATACATTGAATTATAGAAGCTTCATCATTTTGACATATTATTCACAAAATTGAAACTAAGTGTTTTCGTAATTCCAAAGCGTTTAGTAGATTCGTCGATAAACGGCATACAACTTGCATCTTTTGATTATCTCATTAATCTTATATAGAAGCCAGTGACGATACAAGGCTACTGATTTAGCGGCGGGATTTACTAAAATTCTTTGTAATCTTGGTGTATGTCGCGAGTGAAGACAAATTTCACTGTAAGGCCAAAGAGACAATAAATTGGGCATAACCGGGCTCCTTTCTTTTAGTTAATTTACAAGGAGTTCGGTGACTTTTATCAAAGTGCCCGTACAAATCATTCATTTGCATGCATTCGCAATCATTCATATAAATATCTCACCTAGTATTATTGATATATTGATATATTTTCGCATTTAATACACCCATCTTATATTTAGAACAGCAGATTCTTTACTTTTCCCTCGTGAACATCTTATTTCGCCTTCTTGATTTTATCTATTAGCAACTTTAAATATTCTCGATTTTCCCGGTTTATATCGTCAGTTCATTAGAGTCTATTTGTCGCCATGATGCATTCTCATTGTCATTCACATATACATTAAAAATGAATCCCGCCGCATTATACTGCGATGACACTTTAGTAATCTGAGGCTTCTCTAAACGATATAATTTTTTATCGACAGTTAATCTCCTTTTCGTTGCAGATTATTATTTTTGCCTTGCAATTATTCTTCGTTTGCCTTTATGTTACCCATTTTGGCTGATGTTTCTTTTTCTTTTTTTTTCTTTTTTTTTTTATTTCAATACTGTGCTCGAGTTTTCATTGATTCTGCCGTGTCCTTGCATTTCATTTTACTTCATTACTTTAACTTCCTGCGAAATAGATGAGTAAGAGATTAATTAAAAAGATAATGCTACTCAGAACACGTTAGTCTTGGGTTAATCGAAAGCTGCAAGACGTCGCATAAACCAACTTCCACTCGATACCAAATCAATATATCGAATTTCATTATAGAAATTATTAAGACAATTAGTTAAAAGCACAAGCGACAAAAATGATAATGGAAAGTAAAAATAGCTTCATGGATGTTCAAGTATGAGAATTTTAACATTCCGTTTTCTCTCGCGTATTTAGCTTTTACGTTTATTGGATACAATAGATAGTTATTGCATACTTTTCTTCTGCATGCCCTTTAAAAAAATGATGATTTTTTTATAGTGATATGACTACTTTTAATCAATATACATATTAATAAAAAGTAAAAATGTAACGATTCATAATTTGCTTAGAAAATTAAACGTATTATTTTGTTCTATACATATATATGATTATTCAGCTTCTTAACTTCTTCAATGTTGGTAAATTTCTTTTGTAATTCAAACATATTGTTTTTTACGAAATGATATTTTATCTCGATAATGGCACAAATATTATTTCGCTTTTTTTTATCATGTATAGGGATGGAAGAAGGTGTTCCTGGAGGAGTAACAGAATTAAGTTCTAAGCAACGTCACCAAATGAAACACAGAGAGCTGTTTTTATCGCGACAAGTGGAGACTATGCCGGCTACGCACATCAGAGGCAAATGCTGTGTTACGTTATTAAATGAAACGGAATCCTTGACGAGCTATCTAAATAAAGAGGATTCATTTTTTTATTGTTTAGTATTTGATCCTGCTCAGCGTACTTTGCTTGCTGATAAAGGTAAGAGTATATATAACAAATTGAAATTAAATTATATCTGTTACGTTGTAGGCGAAATTAGAGTAGGTAATAGATATCAAGCAACAGAAATACCGGCGGTATTGACAATGTCAGAAAGAGAAGCGGATACTCGCAGATTACAAGACTTGGAGACTTTAGTTTGGACTCCGAAACACAATTTGACAGATCGTCAGATTGATCAATTCCTCGTCGTTAGCAGATCAGTAGGCACCTTCGCGAGAGCCTTAGACTGTTCATCCTCCATTAAGCAGCCCTCCTTGCACATGTCCGCAGCTGCTGCATCTAGAGACATTACTCTGGTGAGAAATGTTCGGTGCATTGTAGACAGACAAATATAAATAATTAAATTGATATTTTTAGAGAGAGTATTGTCATTTCATTAAATTTTAATTACATTACAGTTTCACGCGATGGACACATTGCACCTGCATGACTACGATTTATCGAATGCCTTAGCGTCTCTAGTACCTAGTACGGGTCCCGTATTGTGTCGAGATGAGATGGAGGAATGGAGCGCATCCGAGGCGAATCTGTTCGAAGAAGCGCTCGAAAAATATGGAAAGGACTTTGCGGACATACGAGCGGACTTTGTAAGCATACCTTAAATAAGGGCAAGAATACATAAAGTATCGGCTGAGTGTTGTGTCGTTTATAAAAATCCTTGGTAATGTATGTAACCGCGCACATGAATGTCAAAATTCTTCTTATTTACAATGAACGACCCAATAGTTAATCAATAGTTTGTGTATAGTTATGTGCCCTAAGAACACTGTTCTATTTATGAATATTTTTTATGTCTTCCAGTTACCATGGAAAACGTTGAAGAACGTAATTGAGTATTATTACATGTGGAAAACGACGGATCGGTACGTTCAACAGAAAAGAGTGAAAGCTGTAGAAGCGGAGAGTAAGCTGAAGCAAGTTTACATACCGAATTATAACAAAACCCCTACATCGACAACCGCTCCTTCCACCGCTACGATTGTACCTCTGGGTAATAGTAATAGCAACAGTAATGGAAAGCCAATCAGTGTTTTGAACGGTAACAGTAATGGCAGCATGGTGGGTGATAATTCCGGAATACTTATGGTTGGAGTGGGTGGGAGACCTTGCGAGAGTTGTCAGGCCCTTCAGAGTCCACAGTGGTTCACCTGGGGACCGACGCAAATGCAATATCGTCTCTGTCAAGCTTGTTGGACATATTGGAAGAAGTATGGAGGACTCAAGGTATGTGTAGATTCAAGATCTAATAACGACACAAATTTACTGCGGTACTGACAAACTTTTACATCTCATGCTGTTTTTTTTTCTTTTTGCCACAAACAGGTGCCGTCGCGCATAGACGACGTCGATCTTGACAGGAAACGCGCCGGCGCCGGTTCGGACGAAGAGAGCAAGGGGATGGGCGGCGCGCACAGGCCGCATCGATGTAGCATTCCCTCCTGTGGCAAGGAGTTCAAACTGAAAGCTCACTTGAGCCGTCACTACGCGAGCGCGCATGGAGTGGATCTGCGCGGCACCGCCGGAAGCGGCGGCGGCGGCGGCGGCGGATCGCCGCGGCCGGTCATGAAGACCCGGTCCGCGTTCTACCTGCGCACCTCCTTGCTAGCGCGCGCTGCGCGACGTCTGTGCGCCGCACAATTGCGCACACGTCACGCCGCGCGAGCGCCCCATCAGCCGGTGAATGCCGCGCCGTTGCGGCACCTATGCGCCCAGCTGGCATCTAAAACACCTACGGAAATATGTATCCTTGCACGCACCGTACGACCTCGGCCGCGTCCTCAAGTGATCGACATCGCCTCGCGCCTAGGGGATCATCCAGCACCTCGGCAGCCTGGTGATTGGGACTGGTTGACACTAACTGCCCCAGCACAACGCAAACAGCCCGAACGAGTCTCATTTCCACGTCCGCCTAAGGCACCCGGTATATAAAAAGCAATTATTTAGGCTTGCTGCTATCACTATTCTCACTTTATTCACTATTTTGGAGAAGACTCATTTTTGCTTATTTTTTTCATTAAAAATTCACTATTCTCACTTTTTTCCAATAAAATTGTACTATTTCTGTGTTTGCTATAATTTCTGTCTAATAAGTTATGCATTTTTTTAAATTGTTGCTGCATGTTTTCGTTCTTTTTCTATGAATAGATTTGAATAATTTGAATCTTCTGCCATATATGATGACGAGATTCTTTTACTTCATTATTGATTATTTAAGGACGATTTTCATTTAAGCATTTCATTATAATTTACAGTTACTGATAAAGTTTGAAAAACTTATTAGAAAATGTGATATTACTTGTACAAATGCGTAAAACTTATTACAATATTATAAAAAAAAAAAAAAAAAAAAAATTATTGGATTGGAGAAAAAATTCTGTGGAATTTTGTTCAGCTCAAATTATATACAGAATATATTTGTTGCGAAATTTTCGATTATCTAACGTGAAAGCTTAAAGTTTTTTTTAAAAGCTCGTTTTTAAAAAATGTTCTTACGACTTTTTGTTACCAAGTTACACGCGGATTAAATAAAAGAGCATTCTGATTTTGATTACTCATAATTTCATTAAAAATCATCGTACCGTAATTAATAAAACAGATTCTTAAAGTTGAAACTTTGCTCTATCTAATAATATGTAAGGACAGTACTTATACTTTTAGCTTAAATTTATATATTCTATTTTTTTTAATTAGTAATTATATAATACTACTCAATAGAGCAACGTTTTTAAGAATCTGTTTTTTTAATTCCAGTGTGATGATTTTTAATGGAATTATGAGTAAGAGAGATCAAAGTCAGAATGCTTTTTTTTATTTAATTCGCGAATAACTCAAAAACAAAAAATCGTAGAAACATTTTTAAAAAATGATTTTGTAAGGAAAACTCCAAACTTTCATGATATAGATAATCGAAAATTTTCGCAAATTTTTTTTGGCAGACCTATAAAGTGAGAAAAAAATTTTCCTTTTTTTCATCTCGTAGTTTTCTATATATAAAAATTACAAAACTCATATAAATTCAAAAAATATAGTCATCATTCAAAAGTAGAGATTTCAAGCTTTAAAATCATTTATTTTTAATTTAAATTTTGTTTTAACGAAGATATTGTATATATAATTTTGAGCTAACAAAATACCGCAGAACTTTTCCTCCAATCCAATATTAAGGAAAAATTATATTGTAAAGTTTTAAATATGTTCTAAATTTATTGGTTATGAAAGACTTAAATAAATTTATAGAAAATCCTAATAAATTAGATATATTAAAAAATGATATATTTAATTTGAAAATAATAACTAACTAATTTTAATAATAATAAATAACTTTCCAGATACTTGTTTTATTCCTAAGTTGTCCAGATACTTGTTTTATTCTTCAGTTTCTGAATTTAGATGCTATTGTTAGTAGAACTTTGTTTCTTCTCTTCTCTGCCGAACGTGTTGAAACGTGTATTCTTAACGATATTTATTTTTAAAATTCAAAAGTGCCTTTAATTTAATGGAATATTAAATAATAAAAGTATCACCGTCACAGAATAATATTAGGTGTTGGAATTAATTCGTAGCGTTTTTAATGAAAGAATGTTATTTATTTCACATGAGCATTAAAAAATACATTAATGAAAGTACTTCCCATCACTTGTAAAACGCTACGAATTAATTCCAACACCTAATATATTCAAAATAATAAAGTGCTAATCCTTAGATATCATTCTATATAATTTTAATCAAATCTAAAACAAACTATTAAGCTTGCTGCTCAGTGTTTAAAAAAAATTCACTTTTCTTTCATTATTTTGAATATACAACTCAACTTTATTCTCACTTTTTTGGGAGCACTGAACCAGCGGCAAATTTGAATTATTTTTTATGTATCATAAAAAATTAGAAATCAGATAAAGTAAGACTTTTCGAGATGGTAATCTCAACATTTTTCGATAAGTAATAAATGAAATATTTATAAAATTATTAAGAAAAGTGACAATTGTCTATTATATTGGAAATATTACTTTATCATTAATTAACCAACATGCGCGCGCTTGATTATTTTACATACATTCACATTTGATTAGTTACATACATTCACAATAATACAGGCTGTTTTCTCTAATTTGATCATTTAAATATCTTTATTGTTTTTAATACGAGAAAATACGAAAGAAGAAAGTTAGTCGATTCGAAGGAGCATATTATGATGAGCAAGAAATTTTTCTCAAGATCATATTTTTTTAGGCTTCAAAGTCATCTCCACTTTTTTTTATGGAATTGTATAATTTTTTTTACACATTACAATATGATATATATATATTCTAATTATTCTGCATATAAAAGCATTAAAGTAATGGTATCAAGAAACCAATACTTTTATATTTTATTCTGACATAAAATGTTAAATAACTCTAAAAATTATTAATTTTTTGATAATCGTTTAATACTTTTATGAATAAAATAATGAGATGAATCAATTGGTGGAAAGAAAACACATAATTTCTTTAAAAAAATATGTATGCAAAATGAATAATTTTTTAAATAAGCAACTATGTGTTTTCTTTCCACCAATTGATTCATCTCATTATTCTGTTCATAAAAATATCAAGGTACGATATTATATAACGTGATACATATACAATGGGAACATAAATATAAATATTTTTATTTCTCATATTATGTAAAATAATTTTATATAATATGGAAAAAAATTACACTAAAAAAAGTATTTGCATCACTGATAGAGATACAAACAATTCAATTAATTATCTTCATATACATGTATATGTATGCGTGATACACATTATTTTTGGTAACATAAAGTATAATATTGTAGACGGCAGTCTTTTGTACGAGAGGGTACCAAATAAACCTGAAGTGGACAGGCTCACATTGACGCCACCCCAGCCCCAGCCTGTCATGTCGACCCAACAGAATATCTTGAAACGCCCAAGATCATTCGATGAAATTAACGGTTCAGATGGTAAGTTTCATTATTTTAATTCGCACTATTTTATTGGTGATTAATAATAAAAATCAATTACTGAATAGGGAATATAAATACTATAGACAAAATGTTTTTTTTATATTTATAAAATATTTTATCAAATTGTTATAAGTAGTAAAAGACTGTGAGTAATAAAATGATTTGTATATCTCTCTCTTTACGTAGAATTATTAGTAAGGAAAGGATCGTAAACCAGTAACAATTATTAATTGATAAATAGGATTTTTACAATTGTACACTAACGCATGTTAAATAAATAAGAAATCATATTTTTGATATCAAGCGATATCGTGATATCACGATATCAAGCTGATCGTTAACACATTGTAAAAAAAAATATGATTGTACTCAAAGATTCTTTAAAATTGTCCCGAGTCTTCGTTCACTCGTTTTTAGGTATCGCTCTGAACACCGGACTTCCTTCTGGTGCACCGTCTGCAAAAAGAGCTCATCATCCGCAGCAACTGCATCCGAAGCATACGCTGGAACATCCCGCGCCCGCAGTTCTTCCTCTCGCGCCGCCTCTTAACGGCAGAGCCTCTCATCCGTTGCCTCACGGTCCGCCGTTGTCCAGAAGTAACGCACGTAAGCAAGTCATGTCGTGGATGGACGCACCCGATGATGTCTACTTCCGTGCCACCGAACAGATCAAGTTAGTATAAAAAACCAATCAGTAAACCAATTTCAGAGAAAATTCATGTAAACAATGTGTAAATATGAAGAGAGAGAAGTTTTTAGTCTCTGTCTGATTATAAATTTATCAATTATTGAAAAAGATTTCAAAAAAATAAGATTATATGCAAAAAAGAACGGATATATTATTTGCGATTGGCTTATTCTCAGTTCTTCAATTTTTTATGTTTCTTAATATTTATACATCTTGGTATAAGAATTTTTTATCTTTATCGTAATATTCTAGTAATTGCGATTATAATGTAACGTAACGTATTTGTGCTAATTCTTTCGATTTATCAAATTTCAGAAGAGCTAGAAGAGCTCTGTCTTCGGTGGAGTTACGAAGAGCAGCGCGCAAACCATGGCGCAGAATGTCGCTCCCCCTGAATCCGCTTCACCTCCAAAGAGCAGGTCGCCAAGACGAAATGGTTGTCATCTTGGATTGAATTCGCATAAATAAGATGAACACAAGCGAATATTGTATGTCGGTTCGCTAATTGCGAGGCATGACTCTGTTAACGTAATCTTTAACAAGTGAAACTACATTTAGTGGAAAGGTCACAGTTTCGTGTATTATCATCAGCAGCTCCGATGGATCAAACAACAATCATTAACTTAAAAATCGAAAGATCCTAAAAGCTCTTCTATGATAAAATTTCTTCTTCTCATGGAAGCTGAGCAAGTCGTGGTAATAAAAAAAGGCCTTGCTTGACCGACGAATATGCATGTTGAACAATCGAGAATATCGTTGAACGACTTTACTACTTACTGAAAAATTAATGTTCAGCGAACTAAGTCATACAACGTGAAACATGATTTTCTATTCGTATTAATTATTGTTGTTATTAATAATAATTATTAATTGAATGTACATATACATTATATTACACGTAGCCATGTAACACACATACACATCCAGCTCATTTAACACGACATATATATATATATATATATATATATATATATATATTGCGTACACACAACACACACACACACACACACACATTTCACACACATTTAATATATACATGGACACCTCCCCATCCCGCAAAG